TTTTCAAATAAATTATGAGACCCAAAATTTTTCTAAGCCCAAAATGTTATCATCTCTTTGAAATCAACAATCAGATTAAAAAAGAAATAATTTTATTGAATAAATTGTAATTAATTTAACCACTTCATTAAATACTATTAAAATTAAAACTTAAATCTTATCAATTACAAACGTAATTTGGCTTTAAGTTTAATTTTATTAACCAAGATTTAATTAATGGAACCGCTTCGGTAAATCTCGGTAAAATGAAAACTAAAACCTTATATATTGTAATCATTATATGACAATGCAATTTTAAAAAATGTTGCCTTGTGATATTTACAATCAAGAAATGAAAAAATTCAACCACTAAAGCAAATCTCAACTCAATAAATTTAATCCTTATTAACTAATAACGTTATAAAGAGGTTTTTGAACAGAAGTAAACAACAAAAAATTATTTTTTAAATATTTTAATTAATTGAATTTTTGGCTGACCATAAGCTGTTTTCGATATTTCGGAATATTGCTAATAACGTTATTTAACTTAAAACTATTAAATACTATTAGTATTATAATCATTTGTAGCTCAACACTATTACAAACCATTAAAGTAAACCTTATACTTTAAAATTAATCCTCATTAATTCATATCGTTAATTAACTTAAAACTGTTAATGCTTAATTATATTCGTTTTCAACTTAACACTTTTTACATTTGATATTTATCTTTTAAAATATATTATTAAAGATAAAAAATTAAAAATTTTATATTATATTAAAATATTAATTAAATAAACTTTAGTAAATCCCATTAAAATTAAAATGTAATCCTTACCATAATATTAATATGACTTAAAACCATTACTTGTCATTTTAAGATTAATACACTCTATAAACCAGATTTATTTTTAATATGGAAAATATGCAATATATTATTTATACTAAAAATACATTAATTATCTTGAATAAAACTTAAATGAGTCTTATTTCACTTAAATGAAACCCAATCAAATTTTTAATCCAAACACGTTTATTGAACTACTTAAATACTACAAGCAAAGAAATTATTTTTCAATTTCTTTACTGATAAGATTTTTTATGTGATAACTAAAAAAAATAAATTCATCAAATTAATGTATATATAAATAAATTATTATATCAAATGAATTTCCCAATTGAACGAAGAAACAACAGTAAATAATGTTCATCAAAATAGTGCTCAAGTGTTAATTGACAGTTTATAAGCATATCACAAGTATATATTATGTGACGTCTAAGATTAAACATAAAAAACAATTATTTGATAGTTAAATTGTTTTGTATAAATGTTTAAATAAAATATCTTCAAAGAAATACGAGTTTTCTTAATAAAATAACATTTGATGGACTTTAAACCATCTATTACATAAAGTCTCTTACTACTTAACTTTACTACTTTGATAATACTACTCTATATTTTGTATTACTTGACATCCCCTAACAGAATATGAAAGTATACATATGAAGTATATATCAGTAGTTTACTTAAAAATATTATTTTACCTCAGTTGTACCTGTCTATACATCTGTGGATTTGTTTGTTTCTACTTAAAGCTTAAGCCTCAAATTACTCACGGTGGAATGAGTTTCAATAAAATCTTTCAAATTGTGAATACGAATTTCCTTATGGCCCCTATGGGTTTCATTTCAAATCTCTAGCTAATATCATTGAGGACCAAAGCGTCTATGCGTAACATTCAATGTCAGTCAAACATTCACCTACATGATCGTTGATGTAAATTTAATCGACCTGCTCAGATGTAGAAAATTTTAACATATAAGCCAGGTCTCCGATTTCAAATTGTTATAGTAACTTTAATAATAAATAATGTTTGTATGAAATATGTTTATTAAACATATAATAATGTTACACATTAACACCCCTTTAAAAACAATTGAATTTGTTACAAGAATTCAAATAGAAATAAAAAGACAACAACAAAAGTTTTAGTTAGTTTATTGAAGTTTGGCTGACCATACAACACTATTTCGAGTATTGCTTAGTACTTATCATCAGTGATCTTAAGAAATATTCGAATTTTTTTTTTAAATGGATTAAAAAACAAATCACAATAGTTCCACATGCTCCATAAAATTTATGGCACATGTGTACCTGATCTGTGATAAAAAATATTTAGTTGTATTAATATCAATATGTTGTCATTGCTCATATAACATACTTATTATATATGTTACTCTTGTTGTTTTATCTTTACTATGCATTTTTAATTCTATTTCACTTTTTCGAATAAGGCCACTTTTTGGTATGCATAAAAATAATGCTCCATTTTACTTACTAAAGTATATCAATATAATAAACTCATGAATTTGTTCTATACGATCTATTAAAAAAGGTGTTAGATACAATGTTATCTTACAAGGTACCAAGTTTTTATATGAAATGCTTTTCTTTATATCCACTATGACATTGAGTTGTATTGAGTATTATTTATTGATAAACGTCTATTTCATTCTGGGGTTTCTCATTGTCTACTGTAATATTGAGTTGTACTGAGTATTATTTAATGGAATTCCATAAGTGTCCAAAATATATAATATAGGCTTTACCCGCATAGCCTAAACAAGTGTCCAGGTTCTTCTATTGCATTGATATATCTTTCTGTACTTAACTTAAAGAGTTGTTGTAAACTATGGAATTTCATGAATTCTTTTAAATTGTGTGTTCGGTGATCATAGATATTATTCTATTTATGATATACTTAACCAGTTTGGACATCAGTTTCTCAATAGAACAGAAAATTGACAACACTCATTAACATTGCCATAGAAAGTTTTTTAAATATTTTTAAAAATAAATGCCCTCTATTTTTATAAAATAAAACCCCACTGTTTTAATAAAATAGAAACCCTCTATTTTTATAAAATAGAAACTCTCTATTTTTATAAAATAGATGCCATATATTTTTAATAAATAATAGTAAATATCTAAACATATTAATATAAAAAAAAGAATTCATAGACCCCGCCAATGCCTGAGAAATCCTTTTGACAAAATTATTTTATTTTGAATGCAATAAAGACATCTACAGATTGCGACTGATTCTTATTTAACAGTTTTATTTGCTGTTCATATTTAAACAAAATTTAATTGGCGCAAATTCCGACATTAGCGGAAAATTGTGTAAAATAATCTGAGACATGATTCACAGCAGTTCCACCGCATAAAGTAGTGACATGTGGCAATTCTTCCAATTGCTTAAATAGAGTTGCTGCAGTATCAGCTTGCTTCTTCAATACTGCCACATCCTTGGAGAAAAGGAGAACACAAATAGTTGATGGATTCTTAATGTCGCTACAGGTTGATTCATGTAAACGAATAATTTTTTGGCAGGTCTCAATTATAGCAACACAAGCATCGATAATAGCAAACCACTCCTCAGAAACATTGGTACCACAACCGACGATTTCATCTAAGAAATTCTGTGCTACATTTTGTACTTCAAGAGTGTTCTGGACAACGCAATTTGCCGTTTTATAATGGTGAACTGCTGCGTCGATCAAGGGTGAATGAAATGATGGCAATAATCCAGCCTATATATTATAATATATGTGAATATTTAAAATTTATATATGATTTATATGCTTATTTAGTTAAAAGTACTTACATTTACAGTCAACAGAGACAGACTGGCAACAAAGGCGATTAAGAAAATTTTCATTTTGTCTACTTAGGTGCAAATACACTTTCAGAATATTTAAGAGTAAACCTATAAACTGAGCTTTTATACCCAAAATTACAGATATGTCTATAAATACATACCATTTTGATTTTAATCAATTACTTGTCAAGTACTATTTTAACTTGATTTAAAAAAATTACATTTAGATTTTGACATATTTTTCTTCAGATAACCTCCAAATCAAAATCAAAATAGGTTTATAATATATATTTAATTAATACGCAAAATATAATCTGGATTTGTTTTTGCACTCTATCTGTATTTAAAAGAGGGATATTTATTCAATAAACTATATAAATAGATTATGTATACACGTTATATAGCCTTACACAAATATATATTAAAAATTGTTGAAAGTGGTTATTTAATCTAAATACTCACTGGATTGATGTTGAATATTAACGACTTGAGAATTGGAGATAAGTTCTGCTTTTATCATATCAACATTCCAGACCATGTCAATGTTCTTTTTTGCCAATAAATCCCAAATCTATTAAGAGAGTATAATATATTTTTATTTACTCAATTTCTTATAACTAATTACAAAAAAGTTTGCTTTGGCTGTACTGTAGTTTTAATACTCTTCATCCATTTATACCCTTTAAAATGAAGCATATGTTAAGTTTACTTCTGACATAATAAAGGTGTCCAAAACTATATAAATCATACATATATATCCCAGATTATATGTATTTCAGCTATTATTTAAGCTTCTTTGTGACCTTTGCCTTTGTCCAAATTTATGGTAATACATATGATATATATTATGACATCCCTGAAGAAACTCTTCAAACGTAACAGTGCTATCCAAAAGTCTTTTGTTTGGTTTAAGCTTCTAAAATTTCTTAAAATCTGCAACTGTCAGATTCCTTAAATTTTCTCTCAGGGATTGGCGGGCTCTATGAATTCCATATTATTCAATTCACTTCCTTTGAAAAATACTATATTAAAGTTGCAGAAAGAGAAATTGCCTTTGTGCGAAAAATCTTTAAAATGAAAGACAGTATTAATATTCACAATTTTCAAATTCAGGAGATATTGCTTCACCCTCTATATAGGTTATGGTGTTGAGAATATATGGTATATTATTTAATATATATATCTTTAACTATATCAATTTAACTATACTGAATTATTTATGTATTTTCAAGCACTTAATTTTTAGTGATAATACCATGCGGTATAGCATATATATGGTATCACAATTTTATGTATCCGAAGATAATTTGGAACTTTTTTCCCTGATTTTACCGTAAAAACGTTAACAAGTCGTTGTGTCAATTCACCACTAAAGTTTTTCCAAGATAAAGGAGTAGACAATGCGTTTTAGTATAATTTGAATTGAAATTATAAGCACAATTACCCTAAAGGGCGACCTAAAAATCTGTTAGTTCGAAATAACTAAATGGGTGAAGAAGTAATTACATTCCCTTATTATTGCAGACGCCGTCCGCTTTTTGCATTTTGAAGATGCTGCATATGAAGAATCAGGCTTCCAACTTCTTTTCTAATCAATCTAAAGTCCCTATGTGCTGTAGGCCTTTTAAACTAGACATTCGAATTGGCATTAGCATCTTCTATTTTTCGCTTTCAATAGAGCAAAACACTATTATCATTGTAGAATTTCTGTACGAATCTGAGTATTCCATTTTATTAGACATAGTTTTTTAAAATCAAAACTAACCTTAGCCTTGCTGTTGTTTAAAACTATTGGCTTTAAAGTAGCTGTGTAAAAATCTTATAAAAATAATTTATAATTCTTTTCCATCTTGTAAATTAAAAAGATCCAGAATCCTTTTCGGGCATTCTGGTGTAACAGTACACTGTGATCATTGTAGATCTTTTATACTAATCGCAGTGTCCCACCTTAAAAGACATAACTTTTTAAAGTAAAAACTAACCTTAGACTTCTTATCGTTTAAAGCTACTGGCTCTAAAGTGCTGTGAAAATCTTATAAAAATAATTTTTAATTTTTCCATCCTTCGCAATAAGAAGATTCTTGGATTTTAGTGTGCTGAACATTGTGATCACTCCACATCTTTCACTATAATCGCATTATCCCCTATTGATTTTCATACCAATCGCAGTTTCACATCATTAGACATAGTTTTTTAAAGTTAAAATTAATCTATAACTTTATATCGTTTTAAGCTACTGGCTTTAAAGTAACTATGTGAAAATCTTATAAAAATAATTTGTAATTCTTTTCCATATTGTAAAGTAAAAAGATCCAGAATCCTTTTCGGGCATTCTGGTGTGACGGTACACTGTGATCATTGTAGATTTTTTATACTAATCGCAGTGTCGCCTGTAAATTTTCATACCCATCGCAGTATCCCATCTTATCTTTTTAAGTCAAGACCAACCTTATACATCATATCGTTTAAAGCTACTGGCTTTAAAGTAACTGTGTGAAAATCTTATAAAAACAATTTGCAAACATTTTTTTCTACTGAATCATTACAATATGTATTTACACTTCATCATGTTAAAAATTTCTATTAATGATTTGCATAATTTTTTTGTTTTGGGTTAAATTTATTTAAATTAGTTTTGTGAAACAATTGCTTGCAATTTTTGAAGTGAAGGTGATAACTGCAGTCATTAAGCGCTTGAGAAATATTTTTTACTAATGTCTAGCAATACTTTCTATTATTTGAATGTTAAAATTACCATAACGAAAACGTAAAAGCAAATAAATCTTTAACAATACACAAAATCGTTAAACGAAACAACGAAAATATTTGTTGAAGTTTGTTAATGCAACTCATAAATAAATTGGTTCAATTTCAGCGAACAAGAAAGCCAAGTTGCTGAATAGCAGCGCAACTCTTCAAACAACAAATGCCGTAGCAAATGGTACAATAGCAGTTGCTGGCAGCGTACATAATGAACTTGGCCATAGCAATCAGCATCCGTCACATCAGAATCACATCTATGGACATAACAACAGTAGCAACAATGCACAGCGCAGTAATCATCAACAGAACGGCAATTACCAGGCCCACTATCAGCAAGTCAATGTCAGCTACCAACAGCACCAGATGCATGCACATCACTACCAACATCAACAACAACAGCATCAACAAATCTATGGCTCATCCGCTGAGGATCATTATGAATTGCAGCAACTGCAATATGGCTACAGTAATCCCAATGGCTTGAATGGACAAGGCACCCGACCAGGCGGTCCCAATTTAGTAAACAAACAACTTGTATTGCCATTTGTACCGCCAAGCTTTCCAAATAACTCACAAGACGGTGTAACACATCTCATCAAGCCGTCAGAATATTTGAAGAGCATCAGCGACAAGCGTTCGTGCCCCTCATCTGCCAGGTGAGTCTATCTATGAGTCTATTTATTATGATTATTAGAAGTAGTATGAGTATATGAAGAAACAATGCCACATCAATACTTCCAGCTATTGGGTATGAATGTTTAAATTTAATTTAAAAAAAAAAGTGGTTTTGCTCCGTTTCTTGCAACGAATTTGTTGATTCTTTTTTTGCAAATCTTTTGTTTTTAATTAGAAATAAAATAAATGCAATAAAAAACTCGTTATTATTCAGTTAAAATGTATGGCTTTGAAATGTAATTAGTGCAGCTGAGTTTTAAGCTAAGTTTTAAGCTGAGTTTACAACACTCATACCCCTTCACCGGCAGCTGAAACGCTTCATTTTCGTTTAAGTGTGCATGAAATTATGCGTGTTTAAGCCACAAAACACGCCATTGCATCTCCGCTGCTGCATTTGTGTATCTTTCACTTGAAACAGAGATTTGCCAAAATTTTCCAATTTTGGTTTACTTTATTTAATTTTTTCAATTCATCTGGAATCAGTCAGTGTTGAACGCGATGATACTACGAACACGCCGCACTTGGAAGAGGTCAGCAGAAAACTCATAGAAACTAAATAATCATAACATAACAAAAAAAAAGAGAAAGTGTAATAAATAATAATTAAATTAATTTATTTTTAATAAGTTAATAACGCTAAATGCGCTATTGAGAAATTTAATGTCAAGTATTTATCAAACTATCTGTCGTAAATGAGACTGAACACGAAGTGTCTTACTATATATCGAAGTCAAACTCAGAAAATATAAACTTGGTGTCGTGCATAACTTAGGCTTATATTTACTCTTTTAAGGATCAAAGGATAAAGTATAATCATATGATATATATTATATATCATATCCTTACATAATTTATATGATTTTATTGATATTCTATATCAAGTAATTTACATATCTGAGGACGTAGATAGGTAAAGTGGAATAATGTTGATCCAGTTCACTTATATAGGCAACTATTTTGAGCTTATCATTTTTAAGAAGATAGTTTGGTTTCTGAACTATCTGATTTCTAAACTAAAGATTAGAAAAGTTGTGAGGTAACATCAAGAATAGCAGGTTCATGTGCTTCAAACTGGATATATTAACAATATAATGACAGATGTTCAGGTTATGTTTTTTAATTCAATAAAATTCACTTCATTGGAATTTAAACTTTTGGATTTAAAAATATCTTCACTCAATTCGCTGTTTCGAAAGAAGATATTATATATTTTTATAATAGAGCATAGAGTTTTTTTTATAATTTTTTAAGCAATTATGTGTAAGTCACGTCCTCATAAAATATGTAAGTTTTTACCGTTTAATTTACTTGTTGTATAATATATAATGCGGGCCAAACACTCATATAATCTAATGGGTTCATATGGTCATCGAAGTATCGATGTTACTGAATCGTATTACATAAAATTTACTGAACCTAGAAAAATCTTTTGACTGTACTATACTTAACATAGTTTCTACTTTAGATACTACTTAATTGCTTTTTCAATTACCGACCTATTAAGCCCTTTGGTTTAAAGCTAATTTAATATAAAAAGCGTAAGAACCACCATCATTTCATTCCATCAGGGTGCAGTTTAACGTTGCATACCTTAAGCACTACTCTATCCGTCCCATTCAAATTGATCCAACAGTGCTTCATCTAATAAAAAAAATCAATTCAAAATAAAAGACTAATTATAACTAATTATAATTATAACACTTTCATTCCTTATAGCTTAAAAATATATTCAGAACAACTGAAAAATAGGGTAATACCTCTAGCATCCCACATATAAATTTTAAATTCTTCGTATGTAGAACGATTAAATATAAGATTGATATATGTATAAAAAATGGGTACTCTTAAATTGTAGAAATATGTTGAACTCCTTTAATACTCCTTTATAGACATGATAATGTCATTAAGACTTTGCAGCAGATCACATTTACCACAGAGTTATGTGAGGTATATGAAGGAGGTGCTTCACATATGTCTTGCTCAATGTATATTCATAATTCACAGTCGCTTCGAGTTTTATATAGCTCTGGAACCATAGACAAAGTTGGATCGCTAGAATAAAAATTGGAATACTGAGGAATTAAAGTGAAATGGTTTTTTTTTCAAGTCTCCTTCTTTTGACAGCAATAAAATTTGGTCCTTTAATATTTATTTATATATTCCATTTCGAAAAATACTGAATACAAAGTATTGTGTAGCACATTTGGGAACCTTTCGACTCTTCTGCAACTCGAGACGAATCATCTTCTAATTAATTAAATCTCATTTTTTTTTATTCTAATTGAAAAATATAAATTTAATATCATAAACTTTTTGATTTCAAACAATATTCATATATTAAATTTAATGTTAAAGTCAATTATTAAAGTCGATTTGAAAATAAAAGTTTTTTACTACTAGAAGGTTTTTTAAATAATATATTAATTTCTGACAGGTAAATAGAATGGTGACTTATCATATCCTTGTAGGATTCTTATCTGTACTTGTTAATTTTAGGCTTTTAGCTTACATTATTTATTAAAACAGCTTCAGAGGTGTCATATCATTTATATGAAGTTATTAATATACCAATCTAAAGATTGAAGATTATCTTTACTACTTTTGTATTTTTTAATACCATTTTTTTAATTTCAACTTTATCAACTATTTTTAAAATCTGTAATTACAATTTCTTCTTTAAGATATTTCATTTAAAACAAAATAATTAAAATTCAAAACATTTAAATGTTAACTAAAATTTTTTTTAGATCCACTGATACTGAGGATTATATGCAAATACAAGTATCTAATCAGCATCCGATTGGTTTTGAACCTCCCAAGCCTCCGCCACCACCTCCAATGCCAATGCAACCGCTTATTTACAGCAGCAACAACAACAACGAAAAACTTAATACAGTGAAGTCCATAAACACACTTGCATCACCTACGAATCCCGATACAGCGACACGTAAACAGCATCAACCATTATCAGCTATATCTATACAGGATTTAAATAGCGTACAGGTAATGATATTACAATTTTTAACAACCCATTCAATTATATAAACCATCTCTCCTCACTTTAGCTACGTCGTACGGACACACAAAAAGCGCCTAAACCATTTCAAATGCCTGCACGCAGTCTAAGCATGCAATGTCTATCATCCACTACAGATACTTATTTGAAAACTGACCTAATTGCGGAACTTAAAATATCAAAGGACATACCGGGGATCAAAAAAATGAAGGTAGAAAAGCAAATGGCTAATCGTATGGACTCTGAACACTATTCCGAAATAACTAAACAATTCACGGCAAATAATTATGTGGATCAAGTAAGTAACTTATTTAAGTAATAACCAAAAGACGGACACTTCATAAGTTGTCAAAGATCTATATGCAGATACCTGACAAGGATCCATCTGGTAATGTTATACCAGATTGGAAGAGACAAATGTTAGCAAAAAAAGCAGCTGAACGTGCCAAAAAAGATTTCGAGGATCGCATGGCTAAGGAAGCGGAAAGTCGTCGTCTCTCACAAATACCACAATGGAAACGTGATTTATTGGCGCGACGCGAAGAAACTGAAAATAAATTAAAGTCAGTATCACACACTCTACATACATAATATATTAAAAAAAAAACTTTTTTTAATAATAGAGCCACTATTTATACACCTAAAGTAGAGGAGAATAATCGTATAGCTGAAACTTGGCGTTTGAAAAATCGTGCTATGTCCATTGATAACATCAGCATGGTATCCTGTACAACAGACATTATAGCCTATCAGAGCAACAATAAGGAAAATAATTGTGGTATTGAAATGAATGGTACCAATGAAAAGCCCATAGAAGATGATATGCACAAACTTACCGAAAAATCTCAAGATGATGACGATGCAAATGATAATATAATACCTTGGCGAGCACAGTTAAGAAAAACTAATAGCAGACTGAGTTTAGTTTAGAGAGTATTTTGATCATCCAAATGGGCCTCTTATGAAATATGCGAATATTTAGTATTATTTAAAAAAATATATTGAAGTGCAATGAATTAAAATTAAAGACAGTTTTAAACATAATGAAGAAACTGTTTATTTATTAAATGATGTTTTTTTTGACTATTTTTATAATAAGTCAATACATATATATCACTATATGTGAATATATATAAAAAAGATTATTTGTGTACTTTATAAACTATTTTTTAATTTAAGCAAACATTTTGTAAAATTTATTATGATTTTTTTTTAATTTTTAGCTTATATTTAAAATATTGAAATATTTTAATTTACTAATTAATTATTAAGTTATTATGTGTAAATTTCTTTTTATATATATTTATATCAATAATTTGCTAATTCATTTCACAGAATGATCAATATTTTCAATGGGAACTTTGGTGCAATATGTTATAATTTTTAACTATTTTGAATATAAAATATAGAGCAAATAGTATTTGTTAATAGAAGATTGGGTGCTGCTATTTGCTTGTTGCGATTTTGCTAATTTATTATTATTTTTTTTAATGCCTAATTTATATAAGAAATAATTTCATTTTTTTTTTTTTGATTTGTTATGATTGTTATATTACAATAATAAATATATATATATAAATTTAAATAAATTTAGAAAATTTATTTATTTATTTTATTTACGGTTTTAAATTATGAATTAAATTGATATAAAAATTTTGCACCCAAAAACTTAAGCCAGGACATTGACACAATAGCTGTTCCATAATCTTTTTGTCAACCACCAGTAGATATGTACTACAAGAGATTCTGTAGGGCAGTCCGAGCCTAACTCCATGTCATCCTACAACTCAATATGTCACTAAGACCTATAATACTTTAGATATTTACGATTTACTTCCATGAATTAAGTACATGAATTAAGTCAGGGGTCGCTCTAGACCTCGCTGCTAAAGAAATATTAGCCCAATTGTTGTTGACCTGTAGCAAAAAAGAACATGTATCAGCTTTCGACTATGGCTGACAAAAGTGGAAATTAAGGCTGAAGGTCCCATCGAAGAGGCACCAAGTGTACAGTAACTTCATTGCTAGATGACCTACATGAGTTACAGTAGGTTATAGAGACATGGCTCGGGACAGTTATGAGTCATAGCTAAGCTATATATTACACCGGATTGTAATAGCTAACAATGATGATAATAGAATATATTTATAGTGAAAGCTATATTAAAAGAACGCTCTTACAAACCGTGCAGCATTGCTAGTCTCCACTTTTTATCTTCAATACAAGGTATGTTCTATTAAACGGACACCTCTTTTTCACTATAACAATAATTTTTTTTTATTATCACCCAAATTATGCGTTTAAATAAAAAGAATTAAAATTTGCAATACATCACATTTTCTTTATTTCAATTCATTTTTAATTTTTTTATTTTTTTAACACCTTAACTAGTCAATTTGGAGCATTCAATAACGGCTGGTTTGAATTGTACGAAATAATTCTGTAATTCATCCAAAGCATCATTGACACATTTGCCAGCATCACCAGGAGCTTGTGGGACCTTCTTAATCAATTTTATTGCTTTCTTAATTTGCTTATTCAAGGTCACAATTTTTTTGGCGACTTTCACAATACATTTCTTGGAGTTTGTAGCATCTTCATCCAAATGACTGTCTTCACTATTATTACAAATAGTATCGTTCAAATTTAGGATTTCATTGGTGGTCTTAATGATATCATTACAAGCACTAATAACTGCTTTCAATTGTTTGGAGACATTACCGCCACATGCTTTCACATCTGTGAGGAATGTTTCTGTTACATTTTGTATATTCAGCACAGCCTTAATAAGACAATTCAACCCTTTCACACCGCGTAAGATCTTTTTAAGAGTTCCGTAAAAGCCTCTATCTTCGCCATAAAAATCAATATCGAAATCAAGGGATTCAAGCGATTCGAGACTTATGTCAATTGGTTCTTCCACAACAGCGGAGCTTGACTGCAAATATAAATTATATTTAATTTTGATATTAAATTATTTACAAAATTACATACATAAACAGCTACGAAGCAAAGACTTGCAATGAATGCGAACGTAAAGAACTTCATTTTAACGATAACTGTAGAAATACTACAATGATATAGGGAAAACACTAGCTTTTTATACTCAATAGCATTTAATAAATTCTTTTTATCAGTTTTTCGTTATTTGGTTGAGATAATCACAAATCAGAGTCCAGTCAAGATATTCCATTCAAGATATTCCAAACAAAATCATTTCAGAAATTTTAATAAATTAATTTCATTCTAAATAAATTTATCGAGTCAACACACTTAAAGTTATTAATAGCAGTAATCATTTGCTGTGGTAAGATAAATTATAAGAACATAGTACAAATAAAATAGAATATATATTATATATCAACAGAACGTTGTTATTGTTTTTGTGATTCGTCATGAATTCTAACTAATCCAGTTGCCCAACAGTCTACCATGCTAGAAACATCTAAATGGCATAGCACTTAAATGAAGAGTGTTATGTTCAAGAAGGAAGAAGAAACCGAAAGTGAGATGTAAGGAAATGGAACGACTAATTTTTATCTGTACATCAGACTGAACTTCAAGAAGATTATGTGATAGATTCCTTTAAATGTTCCGAAATCATACATTTGGCATTTGTAAATGTGACTCATTAATTAAAACTAATTTTTTTAAACAATTATCGAATAGTAACAAATTATAGAATAAATGTCATATAACAAATATGCATTTTAGAATGAGAGCTAGGAAATAATATCAATTAAACTGTAGTCATGATTGGGAGGCTTTTTGCGCCCTCAGAGTTTAATAAAAACAGTGTTGTTTGCTAATAAATTTACAACTTTTACAAGAAAATATTTACATATGACAAAGATCGTAAAAATATAGTATAATTCATCATATGACTTTCTGAATAATATGGTCATTAGTCATTATAACCATAGTCTTATGTAAATATGGGAAATAGATCACAATAGCATTTGAAATCTGATGCCATAAAAAAGATAACTTAGTAAAACAATTTATATTGAAAGTAGAAAGAAAATGCTATAAATATATATATATATATATGAATTCATTTCTTTAATAAAGAATCTTGAATAGTTTTAGAAAATTAGAAAGAAAACTTTGAATAAAAGCAATTGTATATTTTCCTTTAAATTGTGTCTTCGCATCACACTTTGACTACTAGACTACGGCAGTGTCCTTCAGGTCGAAGTAATAGCGTCTCACTATGCACCAAATTGGATCCTTGTCCACAAGTTGCCCGATACAAAAATCGTACTCTTAAATATCTGGTAAGCGCTTCAACTACATAGTTATTAATTTGAGAATAATAGGTTTCTCTTGGCGAGCTAGCCAAGCAAGTCAATGTTCAACTCATATAGATACATGAACATAGGGACATCTCAGGTAATTGCAAGGTAGACTATCACTCTGATTTCTGGCATTCATTTCTTGAATATTTGAATAATAATATCTGAGTATAGTTAAAAAAAACATTGGCAAATTAAAATTCCTTACAGATTTTGAGGTATACTTCGTCCAAATTAAACTAGAAACGTACCAGACAGCTGATACAACTAAAGCGGAATCTGCTCAGCACAATGGCATCGGTGCTAATGAGTCACTGCGTGCTAGAAAGACGTGCGATAAGACTCGTTCTATCCTTTAATGACTTCTTTTGTGATTATGGGTCTGAAAACTTAGAAGTATCTAAGTTTTATCTCCATTGTCAATGCCGGAGGAAATTGAAAATCTTTGCTATCTCTTTTCTTACCAAGCTGACAGAACTGTTAAATTAAGGACTTAGACGCTAACCACTGCAGACTACGTTAACCACCAGAATTGGGTAAAGTCTATTTACCACAGATTTACCACACAAATCTGTGGTAAATAAACTTTAGTAAACAAGGCAGCCACTTCAACCAAATCTAAGCTAACGGTGAAGCTTAATAAGGTTGAGTCTACTGAGATTGCTGTTATGAACGATGCTTTGGAATTAAAATGACTATAATATGTATGGAGTAGAAGGGTTATGTAGTGTAAGATTTAAATGTACTTTGACAATAGTACCGTTAGGTAGTTGGGGAATTATATTTTAAGTATGTTAAAGCCTCTTTCTAAAAAGAGCCTTTTATTTTTTTGTAGTTAGTAGTAGTTATATGTTATGTAGTTATATTTATTCCAACATTAATTTTTATGCATAGATTATTGACGTTCTATCGAAGTTCACTATATATTTTGTGTAAAGAGAAAACTCAGTGGTACATCTTTTTCCAAAGAACAAACGATAAATGACAAAATATATAAAAAAGAAAATATATAAATGCTTTTTTAAGTTTGCTGTAAATGAATTGTAATATTTATTAATTTTTTTTTATTTATCTCACATATAGAAAAATTTATAATTTTAACTAGTCAATTTGGAGCATTGTTTAATGTTAGGTACGAACTGGGTGAAATAACTGGTAAGGTTGTTTGTTGCATCAGTAACGCATTGACCGTATTGTCCAGGTACAGTTGGAACTTTCTTGATCAATTTGATGACATTCTTAGTTTGTTTGTACAAAGAGGCCATTCCCTTAACTACTGCCAGAGTACAGCTTTTACTAGGACTATCATCACCTTCATCGTCACTACCGCAAGCATCAATGATATTGTTGCAAGTGGTAATTATAGCATTGCATGCGTCTATGACAGCTTGTAATTGGGCAGATACAGTACCTCCACATGCTACAATATCATCGAGGAATTGTTGTGTTGTACTTTTAATATTGAGTACCCATTTAATAAGACAATTGAAACCCTTTACGGTACGCAAAGCTGCTTTGACTGCACCCAAAAATGTTCTATCTTGTACGAAAAGTTCGATTTCATCGGGTTCTTCAAAACCAACGGCGCTACTCTATTTTAAAAAATAAAAATTTTTAAATCTTAATGCAAACATTTTTATTTAAAATGAATGTATATAAAACTTGTATATAATATACTCGTATATATAA